GGATCCAAAATAATCCATTGCTTCTCACTCCCTCTCTCTCTCTCTCTTTCTACCTGGACTTTGGAGGGATCCGCGGCTACAAACTTGTTTTGGGTGGTGTCAAAGCTGGCATCCTTCAACACCAAAGGTCCTTGATGTTCGGATCACGTAGACATACGTAGACCGTCGGTCTACCGAGTCTACCGTTCGAACCTCGAACGTCCAGAAACGTCGGGTCGGACACGATTCGGGTCAGAAATCCCATACACAGACACTCCATGGGACTGCCATAGGACTGCCGATCAGTTGGGGTGGTGCCAGGGGGGTCAATGGGGCGGTAGTCCTATGGCAGTCCCATGGAGTGTCTGGCATATACACTCCATGGGACTGCCAGGACGGGTCCCTGCTGCCCAGAAAGAGGCCGACCCCCCCCTGGCACCACCACCCGGTCGGCCGTTTTGAAGGCAGGCAGTCCCAGCGTCTGGGAATGGGTGTTTGGAACTCCTCTGGGCTTTCGAGCTTCACCACGACTTCGGTTGGACATAAAACCGGGATCATGTTTTTTAAGCTGGTCACGTGAGTTTTCGCAAGCAAACTGTGTGTTGAAATTGCTGCAGTTGCTCCAAGTCTTGTACTGGCTGAAGAAACCATAATTTAGAAAACTCCTAGAAAACCCCTTAGCCCATGTCAGCTCAGAAAGGATCAAGTTGCAAGTTAGGAACTCTTTTGCGCCGTGCGCCAGGAAGGACCACTTGAACAACTTTAATCTGGCGGTTTAAAATCGCTACAGCCCTCAACGTCAACCATAATTCCTTTACATTCCTTTACTCTGGACTACCAAAAACCGGGGCCAGGTCCACCCTATTTTTCTCAGGGGTCGAACCGGACGGCTTCGTCTCGCTCGCTTCGTCTCGCTCGCTCTCGGCTGCCGGACGGTCGAGGGCAAGGGGCTATCAAGGCAGAAGTCCCGAGCCTCGACGTGCCGAGCCTCGTCCGATCTGGGTAGAATTGAAACGTGTCCGCTGCCGTCAGGGTCCGAACTCGATCCTTTTAGAAACAAGAGCCCCAAACACGACCCGTCTGGGACATGCCATGTCGGACTGCCTTCAAAACGGCCTTTCCCGGGGTGGTGGTGCCAGGGGGGGTCGGCCGGTTTTAGGGGCGGCAGTCCGTCCTGGCAGTGCCAGACAGGTCGTGTCTGGGGTTCAACTTCGTCATCCTTTTTCCACCTGCCAGCTTCAAAGTGACCAGTCCCCAGAGGTGACCAGTCCCCAGAGGTGACCAGTCCCC